ACACGTGTCGCTATTTTGTGAACTGTCAAGTAAATTCTCAAAATGGGGTATTTTTTTCGATACAACTCTTATGGAAAAGGAAGATGTCATCTATGGGTGCGTCAGAACCCTCGAATACCAAAGATGAACGAGGCTCTCATAATCTTCAATATCATTTTAAGGACAGAACAGTAGTTCAGCCTGGCATCACTAATGAGAGCTTAGTTAGTCGAAACAGCGCTGTCTGCTGTTGGATAACAGTAGGTATGCTAAGTTCGTTCTGCCTCATTCACTTCCGGTGTAGTCGGATGGCGAAATCAGCAGTTCATCCAGAGATTCTGGGAGTAAATGATTGTTCGGGAGGTTGTAAACTGAGATTATTCTGTAACAACCCCTGCTCAGTTGAATTTCCATGCCCACGGCCTCAGTTTCGTGTAATCAAGCACTGTCAATGCCGTATTGGACATACTGAAGGGATCGTTTGACAAAGATGTCTCCCCGAAACTTTCCAATTTGCTTATCAGGTTGTGGTTCCATGAAGTGGGAGGCTCTAGTACCCGGCAGAGTATTTAATGAGGTCACAGTAACTATCTTCACTGATCTCAAAAAGACTAAAGTTTCTCTCATGATCGCAAGGTTCTTGAAATATCCTTTGAATTAATATTGACCTAGCACACTCATCGGTGGCATACTTAATTTCCGTTAGCAAAGAAAAGGCTACAGTTATTTCTTGAAATTTTTTCACCAAGTGCACATAATATTGAAAATCATCTGAAATGAAAACATCACTTTCGTTTTCTATTTTTTCATTTCAGTACTCATTGATAGGAGAAGAAGTGGTCGCAATAAAATTACATTTTGAACGATTATTGAAATAAACCATTGTGAGTTTTGAACATAGTTTCTCTCGAAATTATGGAATTCATTTGCTTTGGGATCATTAAGACGAATATTATAGTTGGAACAGCTGATATGTTTTCCGAAAATGAAAAAATGTCGGATAAAAAATTGATGGTACCCTCTCAGCAACAAGTGATGCTGCTTGTCATAGCATACTGGAAATGATGCATTCGTAAACATTTTTTTCCGAAACCAATATCTTGTCCCGTTCATCGATTACAGTAATGTTTTTTCAACAAATGTACCTCATAATATTCAAGTACAACTAAAAACACCAGAGCCATTTCATTGTCGATGAAGTTTATTATATTATGTAGGTTTTTATTTATGTCCACGAGTTCTGAACGACCGCATTCGCTTTTCCACTGGTTGGAATAATTATCACTTTGAGCCACTTTCGAAACAGTCTGTAGTGATGAAAAGCTACTTCATCTTACTGAAACCTGATATAGTTGAAAACTCGTTTGGGTTCATCCATTATACGGATCAGTGTACAGGCAAACCTCAGTATTGCAAGTATTGAATTTGTAAACATTTTTCATTATTGTCAAAAAGTAATGGAAAATATTTCGAACAGTTATTGAAATGTCAAAAATAGTTATTCGACATTATGACATTTATCATTTGGAATGTTGGTTTCTCACTAACTCTGATTTCCAGAAATTAAACAGAGTAGGATAAAGAAGTAAACATTTTATCGAATACGTTATCACAACATTCTCTTTTTTGACTACGAATGATGGTACATTGTCTGTCGCATCAGAAAGTACTGAAAATGTCGCGTTACTACGTTAAAATCATCTGACTTTGATATCTTGGTTTGATCTTTGTACCCTACCTGCTCATTTTTGTTAACAACCAAATTATTGTTTTTTTAATCTGTTCCATTAATCAGCAAAAATAATTTTCAGATGCATTCATAAATCTGAAGATCCTTGTTCTATGAAGCTTTGTGAACAAAGATGTACTGTTTATTTACAGCGAGTTATATGTACTTGCTACCATGGTTATAAATTCAACCCGGAAAATCAGAGAATGGGAAAGAAACCTGTATGTGAAGGTAAGCTTCTTTCTATCCACAACATTAACCATTCGAATATTCATCCAACAAACATCTGTAAGAGATCAATACTATATACAAGGTGAGTGAGGATACATTCCATCAAATCATTATATAACCACCTTCCTATGAAGCTTGAAACAATATCAAAAGAATAACGATGAGATTGGAACCTTTGGTGTGAGAGTTGAATAACTTTTTTCGAAATCAATTGCCCTAACACCAAACTGATATTTTTGCACTCGACGCGCGTTTCGCCAACAAAGTCAGCATCCTCAGGAGAAGAAAATTGACACCTAATCTAGTCTGGTTAGTCCTTATATACTAAAATTTGTTACCTGGGGTTGTATAACTGAAGTCCAATATGGAATTTCTCGGTAATTAACTACCTGCAAGTTCTTAGTAATTACTCTCTTCCTAACAGAAGATTAAAAAGCGGGCTAAACGGGATGGGTCTCTTATCGCCATTCATGCTGTTTTTATATTTTGCTATTTCTAGACTCTCACATGCATCGAGTAGCCTGGTGTCATGCACATCCTTAATCAGTTTCAGATTGTTTTCACCAATTCTGTGGTCCTTGTCTAGAGCATGTTGGGCGACACTGGATTTTCCTATCCTTCCGTATTTCATGTGTGCACAATGCTCCTTGAAGCGGGTTTTAATCGCTTGTTTAACCTTTTAAAATACACATATAAAACAATATCCTCTTCCTCACTAGACGACGACATGCTTTACAACTGACAAATGTATGCAGCTTCATGAGAAAGGTAAATGCGGTAGAGTATCGTTACGATATTTGCTGCGTCGTTACCAGACCGCTGCTGTACCGACCCGTGAGAAGAGACCGTAAAAATTCGAGAGGCCAGAGAGAGTAGCAAGAAGAAAATTATCGGAAGTCGATCGGTCCGATTGTTTAAACAATTTACGGTAATTCGGTATAGTTTTACGGTGAAAGGTGAAAGTCACTATAGCGTGCTTTGATCCGTTACTCATTGGGTTAAGGGTGGTGTTTTTCCTAATTCCTCCTTTCCTTCCTGAAGTCATTTCCAGCAGCATCAGAAATCGAGAAGACAAATTACGGACCAGTGAAGGTAAGAACTTTCTTCATATTTCTTACAGAACATTATCGGGATGTTCTAGAAAATAAAAAGAACATTTGGTCCCATCGAGCTCGAATTGTGTAAAATTTTAAATACCTAGTTCGTAGTTTGTTTGAATCGGTTTCACTGAATTTTGTAATTTTCTGTTACCTACAATAAGTATTGCGATTCGTAAACCTACATTCATACGGAAAATATAAATAAAATTATTGTTCATTCATTTCACCTCATTTTGAATATAATCTTTCTAGGGAGTTTTTTTATTTCACAGGCAGTTTGTCGGTTTTTACAGTACCTGTTTTTGCTGCTAGTCCGCACCTTTACGGGTTTAGGGAGGCGGTGTTGCCAAATGTACTGAAAAGTAATAGAAGCTCTATAAAACTTATTTCATACCTTGAACATTGTGAAATTGTTTCTCAGATAAAAAAAAATTGAAAGATTGTTTCGATATTCGGGATGGGAGTTACTGCAGCGGAAAGACAATTGAAAATGCTCACGGCTAAAAAAGAGTCATTATTTTCAATTTTGCAAAATCTTTTGGATTTATCCAAATCAATGAAAAATGAAACGGAAAAATCTAGATTTTCAGCCTTACATAAGTCGATAGATTCGACGAAAGCGGATTTAATCAAGGTTATTGACCATATCATGGAGGTTAGTTTTGATGTTGATGATGCGTTCACACCAAATTATGCAATCATTCAAACAATTGATGAAATGTGTTATTACATTCATATTGCGGCTGCAAAATTAGAGAGAGAAGAACAGCAGACGAATGCTTCGCAAAGCAGTGCAGCGGCGTCAACTTCACAGCATTCTAGTGCTTCTCAGGGTGATTCGGGTCTTCTGGGAAACACCAGTTTTACGAAAAATCTTCCTTCGCTTCCAAACATTGAACTTCCTGAATTTTCTGGTGATATCCGAGAGTGGGAAACGTTTTACTCAATTTTCAAAAGTTTAATACACGATAATAAATTGCTGACGAATGTTGATAAAGTCAATTATTTAGTGGGCCGTTTGAAGGGCTCTGCATTGAGTGTTTGCACGGGATTGGCTCCTACTGGGGACAATTATGATATTATTTGAAAATCTCTTGTTGACAAATATCAAAATGAACGTTCATTAGCGACTAGTTACTTGGATCAGATTTTTGGATTTAGGCATATACAGGGGGAATCAGCAAAAAATCTTGAATCATTTTTGGAAAAATTCGATTGTGCGGTACAAGCCTTGAAAAACCTGAAGATGAAGGATTTGGCAGATTTTATTTTGGTGCATCAGGCACTTGTAAAACTGGATTCGGAAACGGTTAAATCTTTCGAAATGTCTGTTCGTGGTAAGGGTATACCAGCTTATGAAGACGTAATAAAATTTGTTAAACAGCAAGCTAAAATACTTAATTTGAACCGAAATGCTACAACTGGTAGGGGGAATTATGTTGATACGAGATCACGTTTAACAAATAAATCTTTCTGTGTCACCCAAGATAACAGATCGGATAATGCAATTCTTGGAATCGCAGTCCGCGTTTGGGGGCCTGGTTTTCGTGAGGCTGCTACGGATAGTTTTCGGTCCTCTTCACCAAAACGTCTAAGAATGGTTAGACGTTTTGGTGAAGAGGACCGACACTAAGTGGGAAACATCTGTATACCGAAAACCCACTCATACGGGACAGTATCTGAACCACGAATCCAACCACCATCAATCGACAAAAAGAGGAATCATCAAGACTCTATTAGACCGTGCTTTTGGGCTCTGTAATACAAAGGAAGGTCNAATTGAACGGAGTTTTTTGGGTAGTTTTGGAGATATTCAACTAGCTGATAATAAATTTGATGAGCCGACAGAAATTGACGGTATCATAGGTGCGGAACTCTTTGCAACAGTGATAGGGAACAAGAGTTATGCTCCTTCAGCGGGGTCACCAGTGGCGGTACAGACTGTTTTTGGGTATGTTATAATGGGAAAAGTTCCGATATTAAACTCGGTCTCAGACTCGAGGGTATTTTTCAATTTGAAAGAAGAATCATCTCTGAATGAACTTATGACAAAATTTTGGGAAATTGAACAAGTTCCAAAAAACACTTTACCGGATGCTGAGGAATTAGAATGCGATAAAATGTACACTAGTACTTTCAACAGAGATTCAGAAGGGAGATTTACGGTAGCTCTTCCATTTAAGAATTCACCTAGTACACTGGGTGATTCTAAAACTGGCGCTATGACACGATTGTATTCCTTAGAAAGAAGATTGACAAAATTTCCGGAATTGCGTTCAGGTTTCAATGATATTATGAGAGAATCCATTGAACAAGGTCATATGCATTGGGTAAGGGATGAATATTTGAAAGCAGCGGATACAACGTACTACATTCCTCACCATGCTATTTTCAAACCTGATAGTTCCAGCACTCCGATTCAAATAGTGCTGGATGCTAGTGCATCCTCCGATAGTGATATTTCTTTGAATGATATTTTATACGGAGACCCGAAATTGCAGACGGATATTTTTTCTTTGTTGTTGGATTTTAGACTTTTTAGAATTTAGAATTGCAGACATTCGTAGAATGTACCACCAGATCAAACTAGTGAACTATCATTGGCAATTTCAGAGACTTCTTTCGCGTTTCAGTCCAGATGAACCAGTTCAAGTGTACGAGTTCAATCGGTTGGCATTTGGGGTCAAGACAAGTCCTTACTTATAAATATCCATTAGCAGCAGAAGTGGTATCAACGGATCTATACATGGATGATTTGTTGTATAGTGTATCTTCGGAAGAGAAAGCTCAGCGGCTATATTCAGAATCGGTAGCAATGTTTGCAGAAGGAAAGTTCGATTTGACAAAGTGGTCTTCGAGTTCGTTGGAATTGTTGCAGAAAATCTCCTTTGAAAAGAGGTTATCACAGCCTGTGCTTTTTAGCTGCACTAAACGTTTAATCTGGTTCACAGTGGCGCGATGTTATGATCCAGTAGGATTGGTGGCACCATTCATTTTGTATTTGAAACTTCTGATAAAGGAGCTATGGAAACTCAAAATATACTGGGATGACATAGTCCCCTATGAAGTTTCCCAGAAGTGGTTGAATCTGAAAGATGAATGGTCGGTACTTGGGGAGATTCAGTTTTCGCGTTACATGGGAACCGTGAGAACATCTCCAATAATGTTAGTAGCGTTTGCGGATGCCAGCATGGAGGGATATGGAGCTGTGGTATATGTGCGAACAGTAACAGAAAACGGAGAAATTGCTGTTAATTTGTTATGTGCGAAATCCAAGGTTTCCCCTTCAAGATTGTTACAATTCCTAGACTAGAGTTAGTGGCAGCTCTTCTTTTATCTCGGTTGGTCAAGCATGTTTTGAAAATTTTCAATAATGAAATTTGTATTTCAAAAATATTTGCATTTTCAGATTCTACGACAGTTCTTCAATGGATGAATTCTACCCTGTTGAAAGATTTATTTGTCGCCAACAGGGTTGCACAAATAAAAGAAAATATTTCAAATGCTGAGTGGTGTCATATATCTGGGTTAACGAATCCTGCGGATATTTTATCTAGGGGTGCAACTCCTTCCCAATTGATGGGAAACTACTTGTGGATTTCGGGTCCAAATTGGATGAAATTACCGGTTGAAAATTGGCCTATTAGTGAGAAAAGTTGTTTTGAGAATTGTGAGCAGGACATCGATTCCATAAAATGTCTCGTTTCAATGGAGAACACGGAAACGCATCCATTGTACGAGATGGTTATGAGGTCGTCATCATACATTTCAATTTTGCGGATAACGGTGAGAGTGCTTCGTTTTGTGAAGCTCCTTCCGATGAAAGAAATAATCACAGCAAGTGATATGAATAGAGCGGAACTGGTCTTGTTGAGAATCGTGCAAAGCAAATATTTTGCATCCGATATTAAACTTTTGAATTCGGGAAATGAAATTTCAAATAGATTGCGCAAGTTGAACCCCTTTCTTCAAAACGGAGTTCTAATGGTGGGAGGTAGGTTAGAGAATGCTCCCATATCTTTCGCGGCTCGGCATCCTATCATACTGCCTGGTAAGGATCCTTTCACGGAGAAATTAATAATTACATCAAGCTAAAGTTTTCTCTCATACGGGTATTGACTATTTCGGCCCATTCAGTATAACCCTTGGAAGACGGAGAGGGACTCAATTATACAAAGGCGCGAAGACTGTTCTTCGAGAAATTAATGAGTTCGTCAATTCCGAACGGTACAAAAAGGCGTTTCAAACAGAATTAGCTATAAATGGTATTGAGTGGAAACTCAATACTCCGGCGGCTCCACACATGGGTGGATTGTGGGAAAGCCATGTTAAATATGCGAAAACTCATATCTTCAGAGTGATAGGCACGCAACTTTTAACTTTTGAGGAATTCAACACTTTGTTGATACAAGTTGAAGCGTTATTGAATTCTCGTCCTCTTTGTAGTTTATCAGCGGACCCATCAGCACATGAGGCATTGACTCCTTCGCATTTTTTGACAATAATTCCATTGAAAGGTTTACCTGCAGATAATTTGACAGATATTAATATAAACAGGATTGATCGGTTCCAGCTAATAGATAGGATGGTTCAAGATTATTGGAAGCGTTGGCATTCAGAGTATCTCACTACTTTACAAGTGAGAGAGAAATGGAATACAAAATGTCCCAATATAAAGGTTGGGACAACCGTTATTTTGAAAAATGATAATTTGCCACCGTTTCATTTGCCATTAGCTATTATTACTGATGTTCATCCAGGAAAGGATGGAATTATTCGTAATGTAACAGTAAGGACTAATAAAGGCACCTACTTTAGACCGGTGGTTAAGGTGTGTCCTTTACCTACTCAATAAAAAGAGTTTTTCTTATATCTTTATTTCAAATATTGTTTTATTTACTTTATTGAATTGAAATTCTTCATGCAATTGTTATTTTGGGAATATTTACATTTGGTATTACCATAATGGGTTAGATATTTATTGTTGTACCGGTTCAGTATCTCCCACCTTAAGGATGATGATGTATTGTATATGGAAGATTCAATCTGTGAGAAGAATACCATTAGATGAGATTTGATGATTTCTTGTTTTGTGATTATCCATACACATTAAATAAGAGTAAATTTCACTTAGGTGATTTAAATCAGTTTTTTTTATCATGGAGTTTTGTGAGTGTGCTATATGTACCATTTCTAGGGAAAGCCTCTTGGTAGTGTTTTTTTCAGTTGATAAAATTTCAATTGAATTATAATCCATACAGTGTCCTTGTTTAGATACATGTTCACTCAAAGCACATCTTTCCGGGTGTAACCTACTGTCACTTTTGTGTGCTGTGATCCGATCTTTTAATAATCTAGATGTCTGTCCTGTATATTCTTCGTCACAGTTTCTACATGGTATACAGTAAACTACATCCGAACAGTTGTTATAGGGAGTTTTGTCTTTTAATTTTGAAAAAATCCTATCGATTGTTAAAACATTTTTGTTTGCAATTTTGATATTATTATTGGCAGATTTCAGGATTCTGGATAATCCTGGGTTGATATCTTTAATATATGGAAGATGTGCATAAAAATTGGAAATTTGACCCAACTCAGTGGCACCTGCAGTTTCTGCATTCAATGAAACATGTGAATGATCATTCACATTAGTTAAAGTATCGTTGATATTGTTATTATTTGATAATCTGAAATTGTTTGTATTTAAATTGTCTATGGATGAAGTGCTGTACAATAATTTTTTTAGGAACTGTGGTGGGTATGAGTTTTGCCAAAAAAGTTTGTAAAGGAGATCTAGGTTTTTTTTTGTGAAAAGAAATGTCAGAGATCTTGAGAACCCTTTCTTTCATTTGTTTTATTACGTTCGTCTTCATGTTTTGGTTGTGATATGACCAATAGTTGATATAGCGACCCGAGCTCATCGGTTTTCTATACCAATCTATGTATATCACGTTATTCGGTGATCTGATGAAGAGAGTGTCTAGGAAAGGAACACTGTTTCCTTCATTTTCTTTTTCTAGTGTAAATTGTATATATGGATCGTAGCTGTTGAAAATGGACAGGGTTTCATCAAGAAATTCTCTGGGGATGGATATGATAATATCGTCTACTTCCAGGACAATGTCCAGCAAGTCGTCCATGACGTAAGCTGCCAAAATAGGGCTTATTTTGGCTCCCATTGGGGTGCCAAAAGTTTGTTTATAAAATTTACTGTTATATTTGAAATAAGTGTTGTTGAATAAAAAGGAGATTAGATTTAGAAAAGTATCTTTAGTTAAATTGCAAAAACCACTGATCACGTCCCATTTCCTCTCTATGGATCTCAAACAGGTATCTAAGTAAACATTGCTGAAAAGGGAAACTATATCTAAACTAGCTAATACAAAATTATTTGGAAGTGTCATACCATTGAAGATATTGTTCACTTCAAAGGAATCTTTTATGTAATAATCATTATTGTAATCATATGCTTTGGTGAGAATATCAGTAAGGAAGGAAGCAATGGATTCTGTGGGTGCTTTTATGGAAGCTACTATTGGTCTACCAGATAATGTAGGTTTATGGATTTTTGGAAGCGAGTAAAATTTTGGAGATACTGAATTATATGATGTTAATTTTTTCTTCATTGCCTCATCAATCTCATTGTTCATATATAAAGATTTGATCAAGTTATTACTTTTTGTTTGTATTGTCAACGTTGGGTCTGAGGAAAGTTCAACGTACGAGCTGTTATTTACTATGAGGTCACTAGATATTGCATCATATTGATCTCTGTCCATAACAACCGCTACGTTGCCTTGCACGTGGTTTTCTCTTCAAGGAACAGGTGTTTTTTTTAAATTTCATAATATAATGATATATCATTAAATCCACTATATATTGTTTGTCTGTAACGTCCTAAGTGACATCTTAGTAATTTTTCATAAATATTGTTACGGTTCCCAAAATGCAAGAGCGGATTTATAAGATAACAGAAATGTAATGTATTGAAATCATATATTTATGAACAGCATCCACCCTGTATAATATTCAAAACACTTCAGTTCAGTTTTTTGTGCCTAAAGACAATCAAAATAATTCGACCTTGAATAACGTTGATAGGGAAAAAAAAGAAAGGAAAAAGAAAAGGGTTTTTTCTCTGGTAATGAGAGTTGAGTTTGGTTATCTTCTCTGGAGCAAGAATTTTGAGCTCATCACTTTGTGGATATGAAGAAACCAAAATATTCAATACGGGAATAACTATATTTGGGTTATCTAAAGGAATAACTCGCCCACAATATTGGGGATTTTTATTAAGTACCCGTTCTCTTGTCAAATTCCAATCTTCAGGCCACACAACAACTACGGTAAGAACCCACTTCCCGAAAATACCCTAAAGGGTATATCCTTCTGAATCTTAATCTCATTTTAGGCCTTCTTATTACCACCTCAAGTCGATATTGTGAATTATATCCTGGTATATCTCTCGCAAGGCTAGACCACTACACCCCTTATATCTCTGATTACGGTCTTCCGAGGAGCAAGTTATCTGCATGGAAAAGATCATTGT